ACATAATTCTTCTACGATGTGATCTTCGCAACCGCTGGCATTTTCCTACCTTTTCTCTTGTGCCGAAGCATTTTCTTTTTTTCTCTTTGAGATCTCTTCAAATACCCTCTCGTTTGCCAATACCATCCCTAATTAGACGCTACAATTGACTGCAGTCGGCTACCAGATGTCGGTGGTGAATCTTTCTAAAAACTAACGATGTCTATGGCTCTAAACGTACCCAAAAAAACAGTCATGTGCTGTACGAAGCGGTGGCACATTCATCTTTTACCAGATAATCTTTCGCGCAATTTTCAGGTCGGCCCCACTATTGATAAGACACTTGCATTACCTTGGTGTTCTATATTTGGCTGATACTAAAAACAACAATAACACAATATTATTTGACCTGTTTCTTGTCGATACATAGGTAAAATAACAGCAACAAAACATAACGTGTATGACAAGAGCGCAAGCTTGATGCGCCGGTGCTAGGTTCCGATGTCAACATTTGCCGACGCGAATCGAGCAAAAACCGAGATTTAGTTAATAATTTAGTAACGATCTCAATTCAAGCCATCTAGAACCTATTACGATTTATTTTCACAGTGACCTTCAGAAAGCAATACGTCGTTTCATTTGCATTATATAGAATTAAGCATTGGTATATCGTGTGTGATGGGAACACGAGTACGACGTCTATGACTGCCACATCATAGGTGCATTTTTTTGCAGGATCGACAGCTCCTAGAGTAGACGATAGATGTTGCATTAAGCATATCCGCAAAGTTTACAACCCCGTCTGTCTAACAGCAAAAATTTATCCTGCCCTGTCCATTGCAAATTGAAAAGATGTAGAGACGAATCGGGAGATTCGTCTCTACATCTTTCTCCACATCACCTTACTATAATCTAGTAGTAAAAAGATGGTTGTTATTGTATAGGATGTCGAGACCGAATGGCTGCTGCTGTATAACTCTTAAGGTGCGGCATGACATCACAGATCGGACTGCTTCTGGGAATTATAACCGAAGTTCATTGTTTTTCCAGAAACCAATTCCAAGCTTGTTGCATATAACTCAAATAACTAAGTAAGTTACATTTGGACGTTTTACAAATTCTCAACAGTTGATACATAGCTTTCCAAAAAAAAGTTATTTTTCCCCAGTTCATGTGGATTTTTTGCATGTTTAGCATGTAGATAATTTCTCAGCACATGCTCCCTTTACCAGCGTATCTTTAGCGCAGCTCGGCCTGCACACGCAACTAATTACAAACATGCTTGATGCTTGAGATGGTACCATCATACGTATAAGCTTCTCCTCCTGTTAGGGTATAGTAGACTCATTAATACTATTACTACTAGGTTTCAAACTCGAGCGCGATTGAATATAGACTTCATGCAGTGCCACGCATTTAGAGTTGACTTCCACTGGTTACCAAACCTTCAGATTTAAATTCTAGAAATGGACGTCATGTATTATATATTTGTTATGAATATCTAGTGATATTATCCGCAACTATCTCATCTTACCATACGAGCAATGTCTAGTAGACGGCTAACAAACTCTGTCTTTAACAACACGCTAAAGCTATTAGTAGAAATTACAAAGATAAGTCGCATGTGGCACCTCTACCCACAACAGAATGCGATTCGTTCACCACGATAAATGCTATGGGCCTAATCAGATAAAAATTTCCCACTGAATTATTCACACGCATACACATAGACATGCACACACACAGGTACATCTACACAAAGCAAAACGATACTTGCCTTTAAAAAACTTTCAACAACCGCTATATCAAGATTGCTACGCAACGTCATCGGGGAGTCGACGTCTAAATAGTCATAGGCTAACAACAAACGCCTATTTTGCTAAGCAATGACTTTTTTACGGAATAGAAGTCATTTGCGAACCGAGCGTATCAGCCGGATCACTTTGCTGTGAGCTTGCACAATCAAAAGAATCCTTAATTCCTCCTTAAAATCACCAGTTGCTGTGTTGTGCTATTCGACCGATGGCTGCAAACTGCGAATTGCGTTCAGCACGCAAGCATCGCTTCGCCTTCGAACCGCTAAGGATTTCAGGCCTTCGTCGTTGTCGTCTTTTCTTCCTTCTCCCTGCGACCCTTCACCCTTTCTCTACTGCAACAACAACAAAAACGAAAAAAGAAATAGTTTATAGAAAAAGAAGTTGCCGCTTTGATCTTCTTCGGCTTCTTCTTGCATGCGGAAACTCTAGCAGATCTAGCAACAGCAGAAAACCATGACTGCTGCTGTTGTTATGTTTTGAGTAGCCGGTGTCGCAGGTCTTCAGGAGCTGTCGCAGGGCTGCAGGGGCTGTTGCAGGGCTGCGGTGGCTGTCACAGTATGATGCTGCGCCCGTTTTTTTTCGAGGAATAACAGTCTTCAGTCTGGCCGAACACCGCTGCAGTCGCAGCTGGAGTTACTGCTCCGGATGCCCCCACTATCGCTGCCACCAGCGCTGGTAGGCCGAACGCTTGTGAATGCCCAATTATGCCTCAAAAGTTCGTTAGCAACTTCTTCCGATTCGAACGAGTCAGCGAATGAATAAGCAGCTGAAAGAGACGAGGAAAAGCGCGAGCTGCTGCGTCTTCGAGTGAACGGCTCGTAGCAGCTATTACAACGACTGATTCAGCAGCAACATCGCAACGTCGAAAAGAAGCCCGACGGCGCCTTGACCAAGCTTCCAAAACGACCCACCCACCATGCATTTGTCGTTTGGCAAACGGTTGCGAGCTAGACGGATGAACTGTGTTGTCAGCGTGAGAGAATCTGTAAGGGTGGAGAAGACTGTCTGTGCGTTATTTTTTAACTACGTTCGTGCGTACGCGTATGTGTGTGTGTATATATGAGTTTATCTGTTCACAACAATGACGGAGTAGAAATGATACCGATAAAAGCAGTAGTATTAATCATACAGCAACAGTGGCGTCACTGCTCCCGCTGTCGCCTGATCACCAGTTGCCGCTAGATAACGAGAAGGCTCGGTTATCAGAAGCCAGGCATATTTGCTCCGATAGAGATCTTCGTGAACGTCTATTATAACTTCCGTAACGCACAGTCTACGATATCAGCCGTTGCTTCATAGACATTATCGTTATTGTCAATGTTGACCCTCATCGCCAGAAGCAGCCGCAATAGCCGCGGCTGCCAGGGATCAGCGGATGTCAATTGTCACCTCCTGCTGATCATATTCAGCTAGCATGGCCATCGATGTCAGCAGCCATATAAGGTGGGGCAGGGAAATGTTATTATACAACAGTCAGGCGCTCAGACATTCATACAGTTTGACGTCGCTCCGGAGCGATGGGTCCAGCGGCTCTGAGAGTCGACCCGATAAGGCGAAAAATTCGTTTATATGGCATGTGTTAATATCGTCTTACTTGCGTTATGGCTATCCACCGCCTGATACTGGGATCCTTGCAACTACTGTATTCTCACTGTTATCGATCTACATTGCGAGCGTTGAACTTTTTCTAGGGGCCCTCATTGCTGCTACTAGGAAATTTATATAGTTAATTTTTATATGATAAGAAACGTCTATAAGATAATTAAGTAAATAATGATAATACGCTAGATTCACACTTGTAGCTATAGTTAACGCCAATATCATAATCAGTTGGGTCATTTACAGGGAAGTGTAGAGTGAGGCGACATTTTGCCACGTTCAAACGACAAACAGCTACGTGCGACCATTTGTGGCCTTTTTAGAAGCACGTATATATGTAGAAGGTTGTTTTCTTTTGACAAGGAGTTGGAGTGTCGTATCGATGATGACATATATTAGGACAACGGTTGCGGTCAGGTCATGTTGCAAGGCCTGTCTACGTTGCAAACGTTTGTAAGCGTCATAGTGATGGATGAGTCCGTCGAGGCTCGGTGACTAATGAAAACTATTTGAACACGATGATCACATTCAGCCGACACGTTTCGGATACACTTATAATTCTTACAGAAGTTAAACTGACCATTTAATAGGGTGCAAGGAAATCACTGAGGTGGCATATTTACTTCCAGATCTATTTCAGTTGCTATGTTGCTTATATTTAAACGGGTTAACTCATGGATAACTACGACGTAAAGCAACTGAATCCAACGGCGCTACGGGAATATATATATATGGAAACTAGGGGCAGATGTTTTTTATTTGGCCAAAAATTTAACATAATGATGGCGATCATTTAATCGTTTAATACAACTTTGTATCATCCGATCTCGGTCGTTTAAATATAGGTCGTTATTACGCAGATGACCACTGTGCTATTGTTCCACGAGCATCTTGATAGACGACAATGAGATCTGTGAGCGCGGGGGGGGGGGGGGGGGAGCGTTCATTAATGCGGGTGGCAACAAGCTATCCCAGATATCACTGCAAGCTACCGATTATAGATTATCATAGTACGCGTTAATAGGCAAGTTGCAATCATACTTGAGAAAGACGTATGCAACTGTTTACGACGGGGTACCGGACGAAGGATTTATCAAGTCTTCGTATAATATGCATTTGAACATTGTTCCAATCTTCTGTACGCATCGATGCCATGACTAAATGATAAAGATTTAGGGTGACGTAATACGCAATAGCAGGTGATTATAAATTTTCATTAGCGCAACGATAACGTAACTTGGCACAACATTTAAAAGTAGCTTTCTTTTGAATTGAATGCACCAGCAGATGACTAGTTGGGGCTTGAAGGATGATTAAATCCGCTGAGAAATCTTTGAAGCATTACACATACAATACCAAGATGTCTAAAATTACCAGTGATGAAGATGTCAAGACAAAATGTTTAAGACAATTATCAGATTATAGTAAATTACTAATTATTCTGTCATCCATATATATATACATATATATGGTACATTGACGAATACTTCTGTTATCTTCGTAGAGTGATAAGTGCTCAGTTACAAAGGTACGCTTGTATTGCTGCTTTATTTGTATCTATGTAACATAATAGATGAGCACTTTATAGATATAATAGTAGAAAAAACAAAATAAGTTTATACTGTAAACATTATTGTTTGTTTATTACCCAACCATTTTGTTTTTTCTAGTTTAACTCAATCACTCGCTGTAGCACATAAGTGCTTATATTTTATCCCTCATTTAGTTACAACGCCGCCCTAATCATAGTTCAATAAAATCATTAAAACTCGTTCTTCAGCTACTGCAGTTAAACGACTGCTTTCTGTTCCTTGTTTTTTGCCTTTGTTACCTTCATAACAGTCCTTATTAATCATCGCCTTATACAATACTTCCTTCGTTTTATCCCATATTATATATATATATTTATATATATCTATATATACGATCTCTATAACATCTTGCCGTCGCAACTCTGACTGTACGTTGCTCATTTTCACGATCGTGCTCTTCCTTGCATTTACATGTTAGTAGTTTATCTTTTTTGTAGGTTACTTTCATTTATATATATATATATATATATATATATATATGCACCGTATAAACACGAACAACATTTGATCAATGATCTTTACATTGCCGCAAGGTCATTATGCCAGCCTGGCGTTTACTTTTCAGATCTTATAAGAAGCGGTCGTTAACCGTTACTCTGTTTCCTCGAACTTGTGAAAATAATGCTGTCAATGCAGCTTTCTCCTGGGCTGCGGTCGCGGAGCTTCGTTGAAACTCCTCTCTAAGGAAGACCTCCCCACTATCAAATCCGTATGCTGCTAACACCAGTATGTTTTAGTAGCTCCAATCCGATTTTAGCGGCTCTTGTTATCACTATCTATCTGGTTCATATGGTCAATTGTGACGTATTTTCGCTAATGTATCTTTATATGCATTTTGCTAGTACATTTGCACGTAGCTGACTATATCATCATACTAACTGCTAGCGAATCGGTGCTCCCCTGTCGTCGTAATTTCCTTCACTAGAGACGTCGTCGGCCGTCACCTACTCTCGTCATTAGGAGCTTGCCACTCGAACTTTTCCGCCATCTGCCATTGCTGACTTCGTTTTCCCACTTTACACTCTTTTAGTGTGGCTACATTCGGTGTAGTCGTACTGGGCTTATCAAGACAACGGCCGGTATTGACATGTCGGATCTGCTTCGTACCCTGGTCAAACATCCACATCTGGTTTCCACCCATGTTGTGGCAGCGTATGAGTTTCACCGGGCCAGATGGAAGTGAGGCGTCCATGCAAGCGTCGTCCGCCATAATCTGCTGTCGTCTCGTATAAGCGAACACCTGATTGCCGCCAAGACCATGGCATTTGCCCATGTAGAGGACGTCGCCGCTTTTCTTGCCGTACGTGTCGAGGCACATTTCGCTGTCAAGATTTTTGATCTCGCCAAGATGGTAGTAATCGAGAGGCATATGCGATTCCGGATAGATATTCTCGAGGTACCATCGGAAACTCTTACACTTCAGCCTTTCGCGCAATTTCTTTCGTGAGGTAGTGTCGCCGCGATCAATCTTCTTTGCATGTGGATTAATCGAAAAATAAAAATCTTTCCATTCGTCTAGCCAGACATCGGCTAATCGGGCATTGTTGTGATTTACAATCTTGCCAGTGCCTCCAGGAAAGGTGTACGGTGTACTCTTTCTGAAGACGTGTCCAACATGTGAGCATGTCACAATCTCCAGGGTTCCGCCGCACATCCAAATTCGAAACGACATTTCGAGGTTTTCACCGCCCCAAATATCCATGCCTTCGTCATAGCGGCCCAGCTTTTCAAAATACGCCCTATCGATGGAGAACAGGCCACCGGCCATTGTGGGCGTTCGAACGGGCTGAGTGCGGTCTCCCCCGCGTCGGTCGTTTTCCCGCTGTGGAACCCGATACCAGCGAAAATTAAGTTTCCAGTTAAAACCGCCCCACGTCATGTCCGAGGCCTGAATATACTGAAAATTTTCATCTGAGATAACGTCAATAATAGGGCAAACGACACGTGTCGGATCTTCCGCGATGCGGGCGAGCAACGGCTCTAACCAGCCTTCGGTGCATTCGCAGTGCGCATCTAAAAATGTGATTACCTGTCCGATGACAGATTGGGCGCCGAGCAATCGCGCACGTATAAGACCCGATCGGGTTCCTGTCCGAAGCACGTGAACAGGAACGGGCAATTTAGTGACATATTCCTCAAGGCGCTTACCCAGATGGTCAAATTCCGACGCGTCATCTACAAGAATAATTTCAGCCAATAATTCACGCGGCGACAAGTTAATTATCGAGTGGACGGTACGAAGGAGCGTACTCCACGCCTCGTTATGAAATACAATGACAACTGAGGTTGTTGGCAAACGAGAGGGGTAGATTTTATCACGGCAACCTGGTAACCGCATGTCCGGTAACGACCTGTTGAGGGCGATTCGCTCAGACGCTAGCAGATTAAACTGGTTAATTTTAAACTTCTCCTTTCTAAGGTTCTCCTCTTCGGGTGGTATCTGTACAGCTTTGCCATTCTCGCCCGGCCAATGGGAAGGATTTTTACCAAAGCTTACAGGTGACCACTGAACGAAGAGCGAGTGAGGTTCGGCTTCGGGCTTCAGCACGGAAGTGAACTTCGGTAACTTATCTAGACATTCGGAACCTCGGCATTCACTGCTGTACAAAAAGAGTAGAGCCGCAATGACAAACCACACCAGCGATGTTAACAGGATCACCCGGCAGGTGTGCAGTCGAAGTACGCGTAATCCGAGCATTCTGGCGCAGCTAATGTGTACAAAGTTTCCTCTCTCTCGCTTTCTCTCTCTGTTATATATGAAGACAAAATGATACAATAGGTTAAAAACTAATGTATACGGTATCCTTAAAAATACTAACTATATCCTTTTAGCATACCACTTATGTTCGTCGAACACTTCTAAGTGATTGCTATGACAGGTAATCACTTCCTTTTCGTTAGATAATATTATAAAAGCTACATCACTAAATACACTCTGACAACTTTTCACGCCATGCGATGCATCGACAGGGTTCTCTACTTGAAACACGTTTGTCGCTTCGAACTTCTAGCTTCAGTCAAGGCTTGCAGTTATAAAATACGAATTCAAAGTACACGAAGAAAATGCGGTGGATAAGAGAGCAGTTATCATCGTCGCCCTTCGATGATTATCCCGTGACGAAAAATCTCTCAGTCGATGCCCACAAAAAGGATAGACAATTATCATTGCGAGGCGCTTTTGATTGATGAAGAAAACGTTAAAAATATTTTTGGTCTTAACAGTAGCGCAATAACAGCAGTAGTTATAGAGATCACAGAATTACACATACTACGACGACGGTTTGCTACAATGTAAAGATCTACGGAACTATATTATTCTATTAATTCAAATTAAAGTCACATCTGAGTTGCAGCAGCACTCCATTGTCGATATGTCCATTTAAGTCACATCAATAGACACGATAGCAGCATCGATCAAGATGATCGGATACGTGATTAAAACAGAGTCCGGGGGGGTCGACTGGTGTGCAGGCTGACTGCCTGGCAGTGAAGCTCATTGGCAGAACAGAGGGCCAGCCTCTGTCACATTTTGGCTAGTTAGGCGACAGTGACACCCGTCGTGTTCTTACAGCGAGCGCACATCGCAAATGGAGGCCAGATTACAGTTGCAGCTCTAGCCGTTCATGTAGTCTTTTGCTGCTAGCTTGTAGAATCTCCTACTAGAGCTGGTGGCTCTCGACCAGATTTACAGAAGGGGCACGCACAACCCTTTAGCGTCGCACTCCACGCACTCTGCTACTATTCCGTTGATTCGCCGTGTTAGTTTGCTATTATCTGCTTTGCCAACACCAGCAGGTGAAGTGGTGGCCATCAACGTCAGCATAGCCAACGTACGACTACAACTGTCACGACTAGCGGCAAGTCGAACTGTCTAGGGACATCTATGAAAAATGCGCGGAACTTGGATAGCGCGGAATAAACAGAATATGTCCACAGTGGAAACACTTGTAAGGGAGAGGCGTATTCTGTCTAGGAAAGGGACATCGATAAATAGAGAATGAGGAAGAAAAATAGGCCTCTTAGACTTTTTTTTGTTAAACAAGTACAGAATAGTAATAATAATAATTTGAACTGTTTATTTCCTAAAATAATATACAAAAAAAGTCTTATCGTTGGTAGAGCTGTTGGTAGCTTATGTTGATGAATATCGGGGAGGAATGTGTCGCTTCTTATTATTGTCTGGTCATCTACTCAGACAATTGTCCTTTGTTGTGGAGCCACCCAAGCTCGACTCAAACAGTGGCATAACTAGAACCCAGTTCCAGCCAAACCAGCTCCACGGCTGTTCACCGCGTAATCGACGGATGTAAATAATAACACAGAATGGATACACGCACCTATAGAACAGACAGGACACCGTTGAGAGTTCCAATCAGGATTTGTACAACAAATTGTGGCCGCATCTTTGTTTTTGCGTAGTGGAATTATTGTGGAAATAGTGGGAAGTATTGCCAAGGTGAGTACCGCATAAGCCACAACTAGACAAGGGATTTTTTTTAATATTCGATATGCTTGATTGAAGTCCATTAATTACAGACCTCTGTTTTGATTTGATCAGAAATTTGATTTGATGTTTAGATACGATTAGCTACGATAGGTGAGAAGTGCTGACTTCGTAACAACTGCTTTTTTTTTCGTATAGAAAAAATACTAAAAATATCTGCCATCGATGCAGTGGGGTTTCTGAATCTTAAGTCAAGCTGAATATTGTAGTAAATACTGCTTGTATGCAAAGGTATTAAAGGAGTACTGCATTTCCTGTTTTCGAACCGAAGTATTAAGAACTGCAAAATGTTGAATGCAGTAAAGTAAACAAACAAATGAAATACTGAATGGATAATTTTTTATAATATGAATGGAGTAAGTGCCTCATTCACTGATTTTACCCTCAGATGTCGGCGGATATTCCCAACCCAAGAGAAGTTATTCAACTTTTGGACGTTCTCGAATGTACATCGAATTTTCATAAACTGTCAGAAGAATTTCGATTACGATTTCCTGATCCGAAAGAGTATTTTAAGGTAAGAGAAATGCGGCTAAAGTACAATTCAGTTTATCGTTGGTAGGAAACTCTGTTAGGAAACGTTGTGAATATTTAATATTAATATTTATAAGTTCGCAACAGGCAGTAAAGTTGTTGATGACTATTTATATTACATATATTATATATCATTTTCTATATTGAATAAATGATGAAAAAGATCAAGCATAAATAAAGAGAAAAGCAGACCTTATTGTTCGTGAATTAGAGTTTTTAGGTTCTTTGTTGATGGCCTAATCTGCAGTAGGTTTACAATAGGTAGGTTATAGCGTGTTTTAAACACTAGTAGGTTAATAACGTATTTTGGTAGTAATAGTAAATTATTCGCACACTTGATCAATACAGCTAAATTTACCATTCTTAACACAATATATGACTGTATTTTTTGTGTAATTTTGGCTATTAAGAGTATGTAATGCCATACTTGGTATCTACAAGTATTATACTTGTTTATTTTAGTGTTTCAAGGTGTGAAAATACATATCCGTATTAAGGTCCGTTTACTGATAAGCTAATTGTATTGCACGATCGCTGTTTCACTAATTTCTATTATAAACAATTGATGCGCAATGGAAAAAAGCACAGATCTAACTGTACAGCGAATTTTTAGCAACTCCGTATCTGCTGCTTGGCGACTGGTGGAGCAGCACCACTTAGCCTCACAGTCAAAAATCGCGATTTGTTTTATGAACACTTTTACTTATCATGCGACCAAAGCTACATGACTATGATCATATAGGCATATTACTTGCCTTCTATCTTGCATCAGCTTACGGCAAGATGACTGCTCTGCACGAAAACTATATGCAATGCAGAGTAATCATCTGTATCTATCTATCATCGTTCTCCACGTACATTTTTAAGAGAGAAACGAACACGCTTTGTTCCTATCACTAGGTGTGCAGCGGACTAAGTCATCTTCTTCAGGGAAGTGATTTGCTTGATGGTGCCGCGCAAGAGCTCCGGGCGGCCTTTCTCATTTATGATGCATTCAGGTATTCATTGGAAAATGCTTGTTCTTAAATACGTACGTGCATTTTTTCCATCCATTCTTTATGTGTTACTATATGACTAAGAGGTATGCAATTTAAAAAAAGCATATCACCAGCTGATTCTATCTCTGGTGTATTTACTTTTTTTTAAGTATGTAGTTTTTTTTACATATGTAGCCAAAGCTTCAGAAAGCAAATATTATTTAAGTATTTAGAACTTAGGTTTTGGGAATTATTTCGATTGGACCGGTTTTGAACTTTAGGCTATCTACGACATCCCATCTTACAGAGTGTAGGCAAATTTTTATCCTTTGTTTCTAATTTTATCTAACAGGGAAGGTAGGCCACACGAAAACCCGTTCCTGAGCTTATTGATTAAGCTTCTACACCCGTCTGAACAGGGAACTAAAGCGGGCCCTGGCTCATTGGCTCGTTTAACTCCACAGGCTCGTTGGTTTTTTTCACATTTGCTCGGCTCCCCAAGAGATTCTGGTTCTACGAAAGCATTGCTTATGATGACGGCCGAAGAAGTTCTAGCTAAACTACCTACGGAATGCGATACTGTTTGTGATACGAGTAATCTTCAGGTTTGTTTTCTATCTTGCCTTAATCAGCGAAATTCCTACTATCTACTTCCATATCACAAGAAAAATCAGACGTTTATTTATCAGAATGGGAGCTCCTTGGTTGCCCCTGTTCTTCTACTTGCTAATAGCTAATCGTATTGATCGCCTTGAAGCCAAACTTAAAGAAAACATTTTTGTTTTCTTATTTTAAATTAATATTACTCTATTGAATTGATGGGCCTTCTGCCATTTTTCCGGTAATGCAATAATCCCATCACTGTGTTTTCTAAGCGAAGGGATGCAACAAGTTATTTTCACATATCCATATTGAAACCAAATTAGCGCCGTTGTTGGAGTTCTGTGGGATCCGAAGCAAATAACAGTTTGATGCTATAAGATTCGGGCTGTAAGGCAGTTGTGTTAAAATTTTCTGTCCAAGTTTTCTCGGTTTCTACTGGGCAGCTAGTTGTATGTGGTCTGTCATCGCTACGGCGGAAGACAACTTTTGTGTCTACTAGCTACAGTTAATTTTTTACATTAACTCTTTTAATTTTATTAGTTGTTGATAGTAGGAACCCGAACGGATCACTTTTTTAGATGACAGCAACTCATAATGCATAATTCCTTTCCAGTCCCATTAAACATACAGCATGGTCTGCTTTGGCGTCACATATTATGGAAGATATTTTTCCTGTGTTTTTTTCATTTTCATATTTTTCATCACCCGTGATGAATCGCAGTAAAGATAATTTTATTTCGTTGCTGTGGAGTGTTACAGATGAAAATACATTTGAGTAATTTCAATTGCGGCAAGTCGTGTAGCACCCAAACAAACGAGCTTCTATTCGTTTGCTTTTTTCAAATCGGTTAAAACTGTTTAGTCATGAATGTTTAGTTTATTGGCGCTGTCATTGGTACTCACGTTCTAATCTTGCTCAATTTTTGCAGTAACTTAATTAATACTTTCATACTTGATCGACCACTGCGAGAAGAGTCTCTCACGCCGAAATTTTCAGAACGAATGTAACGAAACCATTTTTAGACTGCTTCTCCAACAACGCATCCTGAAAATAAACAACATTTTTTTTAATGTGGTTGTGGGCAGCATTTGTCTTTATCGTAAACAAATTGAAAAGTATAAGTAATTTTCTCAAAAATTTTACTTATCTTCAAAGCGATCTATCCTAAATATAAACAAGGAAACTTGAGGAAACAACACAAAGCGATCTATCCTAAATACAAACAAGGAAACTTGAGGAAACAGCAGTGTTAGCACATCTGCTACTGTGAAATCTCGGCTTTACAATGACACAAACACCGACCCGATGCGATTCATATCTTTAAAGCCAACCAGCTAGAGAAACTATGTTTCTATAACCCAATATAGTTGCTCTTCTTTGAAGACACTGAAATTCAAGAGGGATGATTTGTTCTCATATTTTGCGGTGACCAGGCTCTGTAAGGCCGATTTGTGAATTCGCAGGAGTTTAAAATGTTTGCTCCAGTAGCTTTTTTTTATTCAAACATTGATAGCAGCCATAACACAGATATAACAAAGTCGTGCGTGCCATACAAAAATGCAGTTAATGTGCACTTACGCACTTTTTTGTGTAAAAATTTTACCGTCATGTATCTCTATTATTAAAAACGCTGAGATCAGTATATAAAAAATTTTGTTTTTCTTAACTGAAAATTAAGTCAAATGTTATGCTCCTATGCACTCTAGAACGATAATATTAAGCATCATTATCTTCACCAGAGAGGTGGAACAACCATATTGTCATTCTGTACATAAACAACGAATTTGATTTTTTCTTTCATGGTAATTTGTTTCCTATAGGTTCTTCTCATGGAGCAATTAGCAGAACTCCCTTCGGTAGATCGCATAGGTGTATCGCGGGTAATACCAAATCCTCGTGTTGACGGGGACCTTGCAGCTCTTGATGCCGAGGCCGCGCGAACCCTTCGACGGGACTCCGCCGTCGAACTGTTGTCGCACAGTGACGCGTATGGAAGTTTTACCCCAGTATTCTATCGTATACCTCCACCTTTGCATCTTGGTGAAGACGCTCTTACCTGGATCGAACCTGTGTCCGAATATGTTGATAAGTTGAAAGTAACTAGCATTAATTAGTCTACTTTTATTTTTGACGGATATTAAGTTCATTCATGTATAATTGATTGGGGTTTCTTGACTGAATAGGTAAACTCTTCAGTACGTATGTGCGATGTGGTCCCAGGGACACATTAATAGTGGTATAAGCTGAATCAATTAATGATTAACATGTCAGATGTAAACCAAACAAAAAACGCAAATTACCTTAAATCCTTTTTAGAATTTTTTACTATAGTACAAATGTGTTTTCATTTATACGTGTGGGTTTTTGCAGCCATTTTGGGATGAATCGATGTGCTCATCGAGTTCCGCTGGAAGTGAGACAAAACGTCTTTTGGCTCGCGCACTCAAACAGGCATTGACGCCAAATCAGCAAACTCAACTACTGGCTGATTTGAAAAAGGAACCGCGTAAAATTGTGCAATTAGGCCTGACTCCCTCGCGGTTACCCGATCTCGTTGAAAATAACCCTACCGTCGCAGTCGAGGTAAGTGACGCGCGCGCATGTCTTGTGGAGCGCCGTATGTAAATAAAGGGAGTGCGCGCTGTCATGGCAAATACAAGCTGGTTTGAAATTTTCAAATGTAATCTATAAGGGTTGCCACCCGTGGTGTGTTATCGGTCACTATAAAAGCAGGCTTCAGACGCCTATTTGTAACCAAATGAGTATACGCGAAAAATATCTCGAGATAGAAATCATATGTTCGTTTAACTCGTAGTATTGATCTTTTGTTTTCTAAATGACTTTGTAAAAAACGTATACATGCAAGCGATTCTTACTGTGGTTGTTATGTCGTGCTTAGAGTGTTTTTCACCGTATGATCTGTATTGTTAGGTCCTTATGATGCAGCGGTCTGATTGTACGCATTTACCAGAATTTTATTCAGCTCTGGTCAACATGGAACTATCGCTGCATTCAATGGAGGTGGTTAATCAATTAACGACAGCGACAGAACTACCAGCTGAGTTTATTCACCAATATGTGTCGAACTGCATCGCCACCTGCGAAACCATCAAGGATAGGTACGAACAATGATACATTCATTACAAAAGCCTCATTTCAAGTTACTGAATTGCAATTTTTCGAGAAAGCATCCGTTTTTTTATATATATAACTTGTTTGGTCTGACACCCAGTGTAAATGAGTATGTAATCTTTTGGCCTCGCTTTTTCCTGTTATAAGTGAAAAATGTTAAGCGGCCAACCTACGAATCAATAGGACAAATACACGTAAAAATAAAAATATTAAGCTATGTTCAATTGGCCGCCATTGGATCACACAGGTACATGCAGAATCGGCTTGTTCGTCTTGTCTGTGTGTTTTTGTCATCGTTAATTCGAAATCGCCTAATTGATGTTCGGGAACTGCTAATTGAAGTGCAGGCATTCTGCATAGAATTCTCACGAATTAAAGAGGCTGCCTCCTTGTTCCGTCTGCTGAAGAACGTCGACTGAGGAGAATGAAGCATTTGATACCGTTACTTCGATTGTATGACAGCATGTGCAATCGGTTCGAATCCCGATTGCTGCCAGGGGCATGGGTAGGACGTGAGGAGCGGTGAAAAAAGAACTCTCCTAAAAAGCAAGTCCGCTGTTTTATGGGACTTGGAATAACTTCTGCAGTATTACTTACAGCCACATCTCTAACATGCTTAGTCAATGCAGGAGAGACGCGTAATTTCGCAATAACACTCAAAACTCACCTGTTGAAAGAAAACACAGATGTGTACGTTTCACTTAATAATGACGACATGTACTGTATAACTGTATAAAGAATAGCGGTTGATTGTTGAGTAGCTTGTATTTGCAAATATATAAAGACTGTGTACAAAAACAATAGAAGTGTATCTAGTGTAAATGGAATAAAAAAATATATGGCTTATTTACTTTCCAATTTATCCAAGAGTCTAGTCGACGTATTTTCTATCGTCTACATGCTCAAATAAACGTGAATAGTATTAGTTAGTTTCCATTTTTATTGTCGCTTACTTAGTCATTTAGTGTCATAAAATATGTGGGTCTTTTTTTAGAGTTAGTAATCTATTCAAAATTGATGCTTTTAAAAGATGGTGTACAGCCATAAACTGTATTTATCGTAAAGAATCTACGAATGTGGTCACTAGTGGAAAGGTTAGTGAAAAGGCCCCTGGGAAAAAGTTGTCATTGAATATTTATAAAAATATGAATAATACCAACTATTCCATCTCTCCTAAACGGTGAAATTTGTAGGAGCTGTTGTGCTATAAAAATAGATATAGACAACCATATAAATAAGTAGAAATTACGAAATGATTTAATTCTCAATTATTATATTTTGTCCGTATCAGTACCAAAGCTGCCGACCTCTTTAGTATACCAAGGCATAAAAAGATAATAGAACTGGCTAGGAAAATAAAACACAAACCGAAGAACTCTTGAAGCAGTGATGATTCGAGCTCTCGACTACTAAAGCACGTAGATTGGTCTACTCCTTGGGAAAAGGCCGTATCTCAACAACTTACGTGACAATGACTAAAGGTGGGATAATGATTAATGATGATGTAATAATTAATGATGAAGTTTTAGATGTGTAGCATTTGCGAGTTTGCGTCTTATTGAATTGACGGTCTTTAACCGGTGGCATTTTTTCGTTATATACATGAAAGTAGCACGGTACAATAATTTCAGAACAATTGAAGTATGACCAGCAAGTTGATTTTTGTGTGAACTTGTAAGAAATTGAAACTAAGGTCTGTATCATCAGAAATTAAACTTAATTTAGACTTCTATATTAAACGGTAGGGAAATTAAGTTTTGAGAAGTGAGCCTTTGAAAAATGCCATTATATTCAGCTCGACATTTCTTTGATTACGCGAATCTTGGTTCTAGTTTGCCTGAAAGACAAACGGTTTTTTTGTGTTAATATGTTATCTTCGAAGGGGAAGTAACTGGCAGTTTTGATGCGGTTTGCGTTTTCTTACATTACAAGGGCGTTTAGCATTGCGACTTGATTTATAAATTAAATTTTATCTACAGTGGATATTACAAATTTCTTTTTTCGATATTTTGAGACGAAGCTAAGTTTTAGGCAATCCAAATTAATTCTCCCATTTTTGTTGGTTCTATTATTTACGCTGGCGTTTGAGTTGCGTTGTTTATTTATACTCTGCTACAAGTTTATGCTCCAGTTGTCTTGACCACTTTCGAAAGGTATAAACTAAGTCTTACGGATTTGCATGAGGGTTAGAGGTATTCGTACTAAATTAATGAATAAAGTTAGAAGTCGAATCTGATTCTAATCACCATTTCCAAATGAAAATCACTTTAAAATATGATTTTCATCTTTACATTATTTATGTTTAGAGAGTTTTTGACAATTTGTGTAATAAATTATGAATTTCGAGAAAAAGCGTAAGAAATCAAATTATTTAGTTATACTACCAAATGAATTCATGTCTTAGAAAGATATTTTATTCTAATAGGGGGTAAGCTACTGCTCCATCCTATTTGTATTGAAAGGTTTTACACAATATATACCTTTCAGTGTCGACAGTGCCTAAAGATGCTCCATGAATTCGATTCTTTTGGGTGAGCAGCCTTGGTTTTACTATGATGTAAAAAATTGAAAAAATTCGGGCTTACGTAAATGGTCAAGGCTTTCCCTCAGGCTCTAACGCCGCTCGACTTCATATCCACCGTGAGTCAAGTGGTGACATCTACTTGGTAATGCGAACGCTAACAGAAGGTATTTTTCTTGCAGGTCATAATTTACTATTATTTGTACATAAATTCGTACATAGTAATTAGTAGTAGACGCATATATTAAAAAACGTAGGGAGAATTTTCTAGATCGGGGTACCAAGGGCAGGGAGAACAGTACCAGGCAGAGTAGCGACAGCGACTTGGTCGCAATATTAAAGATGAAAACGGAAAACGCATATATCTCCCCCAAAAACATGGACTTGAGACTAACAAACCAATACAAGGATTACTAATGGAGAAATAATAAACCAATATTTTGGGTATTTCGCCTAAAACTGCTTTTAAACATTATTTCACAATAGCTTTTGATACTAAACAAAGTGAATCTGTGCCTGCTTTGCATATGTGCGTAGTAAGCAAACACGTTGCCAATATAAAAGACCTAAAAGAAATCTACAGTAAAGCTTTTCCTGCCATCATTGGGTAAGTATGCGTTAAAGTTTTTATAAAATGCAGACTTATTGCTGTTCCAGACCAATGCCGTATGATCATGATCACAGGTTTATGCGGAACGGATATCACCTCATCTTTCCTCAACTTAGTGTTGTTTGATGGTCTGCTTGCTCAAACACGAATTGTGTGGCATAGTTAAATCGATGCAGCGCATGCACTGTACTTACTGATATGAATTAAAGTTGTAAAGGAATCTTTATTGAATTCTATAATGAAGGTGTAGAAGGTTCGATTGAATTCTCTTAAGCATTTCTTCAGAAGGCAAAGAAAAATATTGTATTCGCTAAATATTTGTTTTGCTCGTTCATGTACAGGCCATGGTTGTAAAGTGTGCATGACCATTTTAAATTATTTATTCCTCTAATAGGGTTTAGGTAAGTTTTTTGCAGGTGATTTCGGCAGCGCAGCATGCATTGGAATCGAGCACGTGCTGTAAACTTGAACTTTCTAGTTTAACTAACGGAAAGGGCTATAGTTGTGTTCATAAAAGTAGGCGAATCTTTTATTGTGTTCCCTGGTAGTCATCGTTACACAGCCTTACCTGCAGATATTATTAGAGACTGGTTTATTCAGTTCGTATTGCTACCGATTGTGTCATTGTAGAAAATTTAAGTGTACTTATCTGTCTGTCAAATTTCTACATTTACCTACATCATTTCCACCGTGTGGCTACACGACGCCCGGTAATTTTAATCGGGTGCTTCTTTCTGTACAGCAATTAGCACATAACTCTTTAGTGGCATATCGCATAATCTTAAAGCACTCATTGTCTACTTCATTTTATCAGGGAGTTTTTGTTCCTCGTCGAAGTTCGATTGGTTGAGGTAATGTCCGCATACATCGGCACTAATATGTCATTCACTTCGTCCAAAAGAGACTTCAAGAGACTTATAGAGCTGGCTGGTTTTGAGAATCAATGAAGGGAAAAGCAGGTGGATGACTTGCGACAAACTACCCGCAAACAAACCACAGAGGCCACTTGAGTCCATAACGAGTCGTCTGAAGAGCGCCACGAGGAAAGGAGAATATAATGACAACTTCGAGTGGGCGGTCAGCCAGTGGACGTGTTTGCGTTTGCCTGAACTATTAAAATAACATAAAGAAAATTGTGAAAATACCACAGAACTTTGCCTTCCGCCGCATGTATTCTGTTGTGGTTAAGTGATTATTATATGCGATTGACCAAATTTCCGTTTACATACACAATATAACTTGCTTTTCAACGAATTTTCCTTATACAATGCATCCTTTAGCTCGTCGTTCTGGGGAAAAAATTCGAGCTCAAAAGCCTTTAAATATTTTGTATAATGCAGGTTTGCGACTAGGTACCTCTTTCGTTAGTCTGTCAACCCATTATTGATTATTTATTGGTTATATACACAGTATAATGTGTTAATAGGTTGAAGAATATAACCTATGACAATTAAACCCTCAGCAATCGGCTTGCCAACAGCGCTAAGCTGCTATGTATGCAGTCAGTTGAGCAGAATACCCATCTATATATATATATATATATATATATATATATATATATATATATATATATATATAGAGCCCAAAGAAGATTTCTCAATTAAAATGATCTTTATTTTCCTTCCATATTAGAGCACGAGAAGGCCTATGTTTGAACAACTACACAATTTGTTAAGTGAACGAGAAAATAAATCATAGTAGTTGTATGAGAAAGAAAAGTCTGCTCTGATGGCAGGTACTATTCAGAAGTCGCCCTCGTTGCCGCTGGTTTAGGCAGTTCTTATTTAGCTCGACGTTCCTGAGGCCAAATATATGCCGTAGGCTAGATGAAAATACTGAATGGCTTAGTTTGACGCTCAGCAAAAGCTCCGCTGGCCAAAGCTGCGTCGCTGCGTTGGTGCACAACGAGAGCCGGTACAGAACTACAGAATTGTGGTGTGCTATATCAATAACTTACTTTGACATGCCCCGAATGAAGGTCCACGTCGCAGTCAGTATGAGAAGATCAAATTAGATATCATCTATATAAAATATGATGAAGAGGTCTGATTTTGTCATGTTGAAGGTTGCATAACGATGGGTGACGAACGGCCTGCGCGAAATGTGCGGACTATGCTAAGAACGTTGCTGTAGCACGAAACAGGAAATTTTTTTTATTTTCGGACAGGGGCGACGAGCGATTAGCGTGCAGCAAGTTGGGGCCTTCCTGCGATAGTCGTGGTGATCAGTATAATAATTCATAGCGGTTCGTTTTTTGGGGCGGCCCAGTCCGACCGCTGCCGGCGACGATCGTTCAAAACGGGGTCGAGCCTGAGAAAGCTTAGATCTATACGAAAGTTAAATAAAGGCAGTCGACGTGCTTATTTAGCCTTTTACTCGGTACTCCAACAAAGTATGAACTAAGAACTCGGACTGTGGGGGGTACACGGTATATATGAGTCTGTACCACGTACCGAGGTAATTGCGTGCAGCGTGTGGTGACGCAGTTCGTGCGAACTTCGCAGAAATGAGACGGCAAACTGGCAAAGAAAAAAACGAGCCATGAGTAAATGAGCATATGGAACCGAACGTAGCTATAGGGGTATGTAGGGATTAGGGGAACTAGAGTAATGTGGATCTAAGGTCGGCCTTTATTCTACTCATTTCCGTCGCTTACGGCATCACTTCGTGGTGAATATGTGCAGGAGTTCGCTTTACGAGCCGAAG